TAATCAATCGTTGCATGGTTCGATACACAAACCACCACCGCCTTGTCTACCCTCCCTCGGTGTTCTTCGGCTCCAGAAACATACGTTCTGCATATTTTCTTTCTGTTGCACACCTGCAACTGAATATGCAGCTCCCTGCGTTTTACTGATTTATTCTGTATTTTACAAGCTGATCTTGATTTATATTTTACAAACACACACGCTAGTGTATATATATATATATATATATATATATATATATATATGTGTGTGTGTGTGTGTAGTCCTATTACTTTAAACGTTATATTAAGTGAATACATGCAGACATCCCTCTTTTTTTTTTTAAATCTAAATCTGTTTTACCATTCGGTGCTGAAGATGTGTTAAATGTTATATTTCAAATTTGAAAAAAAAAATATATATTCAGTGTTCAACAATTCGCTTCGGTAGATAATTATAATCGACGTTCGAGTTTCTTTTTCCCTCCTAGACATATATATCTCCATCAATAAAAGTATTATTTCAGTCTGATGAAGTTCTTCCAGAGGCCGAAATGCGTTACACAGAATATTTCCACTTTATCATTCAAATGTTGTGATACATAGAAACGTATATTTCATATTCTCCGATATATATTTTTCGTCTACCGGCCTAAATGTTCGAGAAATCTTATAAAAGAAAAAATTGCGCTGTAGAAGAATATAATAATAATAATAGCTGTCGACTCGTATTCGAGGATACCCGTCTACTAGTGCGGCTAGCCAATCCCTATTGCAGACGCTCTCTCAGGCACATTTGTATCTGTTCAACATCCACAGAGCCCACCTGTGGTTTATACTGAAACTATGCTGAGCAGACCTTAGTTACAGTTTCTGGGAAAGAGTGTGTTATCTAGCGTGATCAACGGTCTGAACAGGGCCAGTACACTCAAACACTCGGTCGCGATGACTTGTGACTTTGTGCTAGCACAGCTATCGACGGTCCCCCAAGTGTTCCGCCTACCCAGTCTCGCTCTCAAGGCTTGGGTCAACCCGTGGTATGGTTTTCAGGCACTTTCCAAAGGTGCCACACGCTGGGATCGTCCCCCTCCAGTTCGATAAAATCAGGAAGACTCCTTCCTGACAAATCAACCGTGGTAAGATTCGAACCTGGGTTTCATGGTCAGAAAGCAAACGTTCTAACCACTCGCGCACGCGCCTAGAAGAACACACACACACACACACACACACTCTCTCTCTCTCTCTCTCTCTCCATATACACCATCAAATTCGGTAATTTTGATAAACAACCAAACAAAGATGACAATGAGTCACTTCCCCACATCCTAAAATATTTTTCATAAAACCTACCAGTCAGTTGATATATTTTCTGTTTGTTTATTTATAAATTGTCTACCCACCTCCGTAGCTTCTGAGCCGGGTGCGGGGAGGGTTGGTTTTAAGACGATCGAAAAACAGAAAGCGAATGTAAGAGGGGGTAACAGTGAAGTGTACAAAAAAGCTGTGTTATCTTGTACTTGACTTGTCTTGGAGAACGTTGGCATATGGCCGATGAAGAATGACCCATAACATATATGGCCGGTCTTGGGGAGACGCCATTCGTTGCAATTGACCAAAACAGTTTTTGACGGCCGGGCAACTGGTTGCTGCTTGTCAGTGGATAGTTGTCTTGATGAAAGAGAGTCTATTCACCTGTTCTCTTTTTTTTTCTTTCCTCTCTCCATGAAGTAAAAACTTTTAAGACGTTTGTTGCTAATTCTTTTCTTTCTTTTGTTGTTGTTGGGTTTTTTTTTTATCGATTTCATATTTTCTTTTTGATTCATTCATATTTGTATTGATTATTTGCAACTTCATCTCTTTTCACTAACTTTCTCTCTTTCCATTCCTTTCTCTCTTTCCGTTCCTTTCTCTCTTTCCGTTCCTTTCTCTCATTCCATTCCTTTCTCTCTTTCCATTCCTTTCTCTCTTTCCGTTCCTTTCTCTCTTTCCGTTCCTTTCTCTCTTTCCATTACTTTCTCTCTTTCCGTTCCTTTCTCTCTTTCCGTTCCTTTCTCTCTTTCCGTTCCTTTCTCTCTTTCCGTTCCTTTCTCTCTTTCCGTTTCTTTCTCTCTTTCCATTCCTTTCTCTCTTTCCATTCCTTTCTCTCTTTCCGTTCCTTTCTCTTCAATTTTCTTTTTTTTTCAGATGCTTTATTTATTCTTTTATTTTTTCCATTTTCTTTCTTTCTTCTGTTTCCTTTCTTCTTCATCCTTTTCACTCTTCTTTTTTATTTCTTCTCTTCATTTCTTTCTTTCCTTCAATTTTCTTTTAATCAGATGCTTTAGTTATTCTTTTCTTCTTTCCATTTTCTTTCTTTTTCTTTTTTCTACTTCCTTTTTACTCTCTTTTATTTCCTCTTTTTTTCTTTTTCTTTCCTTCCTTCTTTCTTTCTTTCTTTCCTTCTTTTCCTTCCTTCTTTCTTTCTTTCCTTCTTTCTTTCTTTCCTTCCTTCTTTCTTTCCTTCTCTCCTTCCTTCCTTCTTTCCTTCCTTCCTTCTTTCCTTCCTTCCTTCCTTCTTTCCTTCCTTCCTTCTTTCCTTCTTTCCTTCCTTCCTTCTTTCTTTCCTTCCTTTCTTTCTTTCTTTCTTTCTTTCTTTCTTAGCCTTCTTCTTTACGCTTCCCCGATAATATTCTTCTCAGTTTCTTTCAGTTTTCCTTCATCCCTTATATGGTTTCTTATTTCTCGTGGTTTTTCATCTCATTCAATACCATTTTCTTTCTCTTTCTACCCCACTTGTAATTTTTCAAATCATTTTTTCTTATCAAATCGCAAATAAAAGTTATCTTGAACATCCCGATATTTTAGATTAATGCGGGTTTCCTAAAGGCTCTATTCTTAGACCTACTTTGTTTCTAACATTCATTAACGACCTTCGCGATCTCATCAGTCCTCGTCTCGGTATCTATGCTAATGACACAACAATTTATTCTTGTGTTAATGTTAAATCTGATCAGTTTGAAACTGAGTAAAAATAACTTATAATCTATTGTTAATAGCGGCAAGAAATGGCTAGTTAACTTTAACGCCTCCAAAAACTAAAGTGTTCTCTTTTGTGTTAGAGAACGTTTTATGCCTTACATCAGTATGACTGATGCTAACCCCAGAAGAGTGACTCGTTGCGCCTTCTTGAGTCAACGTTTTTTCAATAACGTGAAGTGCAATGATTATATTAAACCAATTGCTTAGGTAAGTTAGTTTACTGTATGTTTATAGACATTTTTTTTGTCGCCAGAATCTATCTTTAGTCAAAGTCTCATACGTGATACACGCTTAGCCGATCACATCTCTTTTGATTCATGACTGACTAGGCAAAAGATTTTCCCGCAGTGGTTTGTTTCCGTCGTAGACTGGTTACCAACAAAGGCTACTGGACCCAATCTGTCCTGCTATTCAACCGGTAGTTTGAAGTTGGGGCAAGAGATGGATACATACCTTTTCCAAGAGTAATTGCGCTTAAATGATTACATCTTACACCTTGAAATGTCTACCATTCTACCATGCACTGAATATTGCAGCCATTTCTGGTCTGATGTTTCTTTTATGGTGCTTTCCTAAGCGTAGCTTAGGTGTGGCACGAGGCCGAAAGTATGGAGCACCCAGTGAGGATCGAACTCACTATTCAGTCGTGATTAATCCGTAACACCTTACAGGTTAGTATATTTATCACTTTGCTCGGGGAGAAATAATTAAACCAAAAAAAACTTTTTGACTAACCTTTCGAAAAAAAAAAATTATTCCCCTATTTACATTATTCGGACTATTATACTCATCTTCGTCGCCCTGTTTATCACAACGTTTTGGCCGTTGTACGCTCCGGCCTTCTTCAGGTGGTTGGAATGTTGAATTGAACCCTTTATTTCGCTCACCGGTGTAGACTGTTCTAGTTCCACGTGCCATGTCTAATGGATGTCAGTTATCTCCTGTTAATTCCCCTCTCAAAGTCTTATCCAGGTATTGAACTCACACTCTTTGGGTCATGTCACTGGATCTAACACCTTTATCCACTGTGCCATGAGTCCTTGAGAAGGTCGGAGCGTACAACGACCGAAACGTTGTGATAAACATGGTGACAAAGATGAGAACTATAGTCCGAATAATGTCAATAGTGTACATAATGATCCCTCAAATCAGAAATAGAGACAAAAAATATTTATTCCAATCTTCAAATATTGCTCTGATTTTCTCTTTCGGCTTAAAGTCATAATTACTCGGTTGGGGGTGGTGGGATTTATAATTGTGGATACTGACGCTTTGCCTCTATTTAGACTTTGGTTAGAGGTCTTCTAGAACAGGGGTTAGCAACCTTTTGCTGGCTTATGTGCCGATTTCAATCTTTAAAATCATTCAGTGTGCCAACAGCATACGTATTTTTATATAAATCAAGGTCAATATACCTGTTTTACAATATATTTTATATAGTAATATATAGGATATATACTTTAGTATATATTAAAATTGAAACAGCCAAATATCTTCTTTGCGTTGTAGTTGTTATTGGTTCGGACTTGAGGATGTCATTTGCCCTTGGAAATTGCTTGGCGTTCCACAGAATGCCGACCCCTGGTATAGGTCTTTAATGAGTGTTCTCACTTTGGTTAGAGATCTTTTAGAACTACTGAGATAGAATTTCTCTACTTTCAACTTTGTCCTTGACAGCCCGATCATGGCTACACTTTGCATTTCTAAAACTTTCTTGCAGTGATTGCGAGCAATTCTGAAAAAAAAATGGTTACTCCTTGTTTCTTTGCTTGAATTTCTTCTTCCTTTTTCAATTTCTTTTTTCATTCACCAATTCCAATTTGTGTAACATTCCAAAAGCTGATCCCAACATACGCGAACCGTCTTGAAATTCCTCAACAACACCCCCTTTTTCGTCACAAAATAACAAATAAATAAATAAAACAAATCCTTCTTCTTTCTCCGGAGACGCCTTTTTGCAATACAAGGAAACGGTGGCTCGGTGTCGGTAAAATTCTTGGACACATGTTTTTATTGACGATACCTCTCAACCAACCATCAGCATCAAACCAGTACAGAAAACTAAATCCGGACGGCCTACTCCACCCGACACAACACCACCGTCAGTCTATCCCCGCTTTTCTTCCTTCGCTTGACCTCTACACTTACAACTGCACTGCCATCTTCCGTCGCTTTTTCCCCCTCTTCTATTTGTTTGAATTTGTGATATGGTATAACTCGTCTATCAACAAACACAGATGGACATAAGCCCTGAGACACTAGCCACAACAACAGTCTCCTCTCTTTGCTTCCTCACCACCTCTCCCAAATTCTTGCCATCAATCCAAGACAACTGACCCCCACCCATTACCCCCAACTCTCGATCATCATCGTTCCTTGCCACCATTTCTGTGACGTGCTCGCTACACGCATGCGTGTGCATACACGCACAGAACTCAACTATTAAAAGACAACAAAAACAAATGACTGGTGGGGAAAAACTTTCAACCGTGGCCTTGTACCAGATTTCTTTTTAAGTGCCACGTTCATGTAGGTGATCATGGCTCTCCACTATTTCCTCGTCTAGCCCTTCACTGTTAAGTAGTTTACTCGATTTTTCAATCTGCTTCTTTTGCCTTCAGCATGTTCAGTTAGTCAGGGTCGATGAAAAGGGCTCATATAATGCAAATCTATGACATCCGGCCCCGAATCTATAATAGATGATCCTCCACTCTCTTGCATCTCAATGTTCATGAGGTAGTATTCATATACAATACCAAATTTACTGTAGCCTACTCATGTGCAATACAAGGTGGAGATAAAGAAAACAATGTATCTAAATACAGATTAGAGACATGTTAATAATAGATCATTCCATCTTAGATAAATCAACAATGTTTTGCTGCAATTTTTAACAACAAATTGAGATCTTGTTAAAATGTTGAAGAATATTAACACATTCAACATTATGGAAAAATATAATGAATTTAATATAGTGTATTTGGGAGACTGAGCATGCGCAAAAAACAAATCAAGGAATTGGACGAACAAAAAGACCCCAGAATGAGGCGAAAAGTTGTTATCATTATACAGTCAGTTGTGCATAGTTTAATTTAGGTAGAAAAAGGGTAAGGGTCACAAAGCACTAGCTGTGGATCTCAATAAGGCTTGACCCCAACCGGTGGGAAATTAGTACGTACCGAGAACACACACACACACACACACACATATATATATATATATATATATATATATATATATATATATATATGAATGTAAGTGTGTGTGTATATAATGAATGTATATATATATATATATATATATATATATATATATATATATATATAACTATAATGAATGTATATGTGTGTGTGTGTATATATATATATATATATATATATGTAATGAATGCATGTGTATATATGTAATGAATGTATTTTTATATGTAATGAATGCATGTATATATGTATATATATAATGAATGTATATGTATATGCCTATATATATATATATATATATATATATATAATGAATGTATATGTATGCGTATTTATATATAATGAATGTATATGTATATATTTATGTATATATATATATATATATAGTGCCATATTTGACTGCGTTTGTCCGAACTCCGAGGATTTTTTCGTCCAAATCCGTCAATTTATTTTCCTCATGCAAAGCCACGAAAAAAAATACTATATAAAATTCACTATTTTTTTATCCATAATGTTGAATGTGTTGAAGTTATTCAAGTTCTAAAAAAGAAAGATCTCAAGTTTTTGTTAAAATTTGCCGCAAAACATTGTTGATTTATTTAAGCTGGAATGATCTATATATATATATATATATAGAGAGAGATCATTCCAGCTCGGAGTTCGGACAAACGCAGTCAAATATGGCACAAGGCCGTGTTTAATGTGGGGTTCCCGAGCCTGTAGGCTCGGCCAAAAATGCCCGTAGACCCCGCATAAACTGGATCGGGTCGGTCAACCCGAACGAGACTCTGCCCTTCCGCAGAGCCTCGTCCGGGTTCCTCACTACCCGAAGGCAGAGAGTTCGACTATATAGCCGAAAAAGATTTTGGCTAGTATATTTAGCCACCCAACCCACCTGGGTTGCATATGTCACAAGGCCTGGTTTAACGTGTGTTCTCCGAGCCCGTAGGCTCGGCCCAAAATATTCCCTTTCGAACCCGTATAAACGGGTTCAAGTTCAGTCTACCTCCCCGAACGAGACTCAGTCCTTCGGCAAAGCCTCGTACGGGTTCCTCTCTGCTCATAGGCAGAGTTCGACTGTTTAGCCGAAAAAGATTTCGGCTAGTCTCTGTAGTCTGTTGACTTACAGATTCTTATAGGTAGTTACTACCTATAGTGTAGTCACACATGGGGGTGACAAGTTATTCCATTACATCATTTATTAAATAATAACCAAAATGCGCTGGAAACTTTTGCACAAAGTGAATAGCAATTTTATCTTTTTTTTTTTTCATGGCGTTTTATTTCGAGTATCCAGAGCTTTTCTATTTGTTCATTCTCTTTTATTTCTTTTGTTTTTCATTTCTTTAAAGTAGTTATTGTTACATTTTTAGTTTTTGTTTTTCTCCCTCTTTTTCTCTGTCTCTTTCTCCCATGTTTATGGAGAGCGGTTAGATTCTTTTGTTTTACTGATTCCTTCTTCGTCTCATATCGTATTCATTGCTTTTTGCCTTTTATTACGTCGACTTCTGTCAAACTATATTTCGTTTAGCTCTTCCCTGACAGCGAAAATGGACAAAGTTCTTGACCACGGTCAAGCAAACACTTAAGTGATCTCCATCAAAAAAAAAAAAAAAAAAAAAAAAAACTCTGGGAAAGAAAAATTCGAGGTAACAAAGAAACAAAATGGAGGAAGGAAAAACGGAACGAAGAAAAAATAAAGGAAAGATAAAAAAAAAAAAATGTAAAAGAAGAAAGAAATATATGGGAATTTTCTAAGCGAAACATAGATATGGCACAAAGGCTGAAAGCATGGGGCTCCTAGTGAGGATCGAACTCACTACACATTCGTAATCGTTCTAGCGAGACGAGCTTGCTAACCATTATATCTAGGTGACAGTGAAAGAAATATTTGATTGAAAAA